GTCTCTGCGCCGCGTGCGCCATGTTTGCTGCCTCCAATTCGGCAGCGAGTTGTCTTTTCCACTTGTTACGACGATTCTGGAACCAGATCTTCACCTGAGTCTCGGTCAGCCGTAACGTTGCAGCGAGACCGGCGCGTTCAGAAGACGAAAGGTAGCGTTTCATGTCGAACGTGCTTTCTAATTGAAACACCTGTGACCGCGAGAACACAGTTCGCGTCTTCTTCTTTCGTTTCATGCTGCTGGAGTCGCGACCATCTACGCCAACTTGCACGCTGTTCTGCCCACCGCCACCACCGCCTCCACCACCTCCGCTATTCCCTGTGCCACCGCCGCTACCACCGTGAAGACTGGTCGAGTTTGTGGATTCCCCTTCGCCATCCGCCTCCGGGCAGTCGTCCTGCTCACCCAGATCGTCGTGTCCTTCGTCGCCCGTCGACGGACTCCGTGTCCGGTGCAGACGCTCCTCCCCGTTCTCGTCGTCCAGGTCGTCTGCAGGAAAATGATATATGATTGCTTGAAAATTGTTAGCCTTCCCTGGTCTGTCGAAAATTGGTAGCCTTCGGACAGTTATATACACTGCCGACCGTAAGTATTATATAAGGACACCTACTCGTTACATTTACTGGAAAACTGGAACAAAATTTTCCTTTATTCGATATTGCCAATTACAAGACGAAGATTTGTAGTAAACTGAATGGAAACAGAAGCAGCGAAAGACACTCGGTTTGTATCGAATATCGGTAGGCGATAGCGTACATTGTAAGAATTTGATTTTGAGTAATAAGATAAGAGGAGCCCAATTCCAAAGTTTCCGAGTAAGATTGAAATCGTCGTTCTATAATCGAGAATCGATTCCGTCGTAAAGGGGAAGCTGTAAAAGCGGACGCTTGAATATCTTGTCGTCTAGAATGGACGATAATCGATGCAAAGTAGCGACAGGATAAGATAATGCGTTGGCTTTTGGTAGCCGCAGGAGGTTGCTCATCGATACCGATTAACGCCTCAATTTTCCCGATAGGCGGCCACGCATGTCGTAATAGAAACATATGCTTCCAATGTCAGTGATGATCGGTAGGTCGTTGTCATTGTGGCGAATGCAAGAGTCTAAATGGATACTATCGCCAACGACCGCGCTATAAATTGTCCCGCGCTTCCGACGGAAGTTATGAAACAGTTTTAGTTGCGATTTAATATTAAAATTATCAATATCTAATTATACCTAAATATATTGTACATCGATTATTACAATTAAAACGGTATGAAGGAAGCAGTTTAGTACATTAATACCGTCATTTATAAAAGCTTTTGTATAGTTCATGAAGAGGTCATTTTTACTAAAATATAATGATACAAAATTCCCCTGCGAAGTTAGTATGTTCTGTGGTAAGACAAGCAAGAGCTGTTTTACGTATATTGAGAAATAAATATGTCGTGACACATCGTGTATTTAAATAAAAAAACGGTGTTTTTATGGGACGTACGGAGATCCTTGTAAGTGACTGTATTTTAGCGAAAGAAAACATTATTTTTGTTAAAAGTGTTGGCATAATTTTAGTAACGCTGAAAATAAAATTTAGTAGCCACGGTGTTAACTAATTGGTAGACTGCTTGGGAAATTTAAACGTGCAGAAATATACACAACATGCATGATGTGCAAAAATACGACGAAATATCCAAAGTAAAGAACTCGTTATGTCATTTAGAGGATGAAACAAATTTCTATTTAGCCCTGCTCATAAAAATATGAATTTGCATAAGCATCCGCAATCTACTAATTTATCATAGACCTAAAAAAATTCAAATCAACAAGTATGTACAGGACTATGTGTAGAGTGGTTGATCGTGAGATTCATTAGACGAGATTGTTCGTTGTTGAAACCATCAAGTATACTTAAAATGTTAAATAAATAAGTACAGAAGGACGCTTGTACTAATGGATTCGTCAAGACAGTGTATAATCGCTAAATATAATCGCTGATAACTCGTTGGTAACTCTGATATTGATTCGCGCGACTAACTGACAACTGGTTGATAACTGTCTTCCTTACGATCGCGTCCATTTATTTACACTGGTCGGGGGAGAGTCGGAAAATTCAAATTCGTCTTTGTTCGACGACTGCACGTAGCGGCGACATTGTTTTGTCGGGAGTTTATTTATTCTTACATTACGTGTATCCTAACGATATTGATACTCCGAGGCAAAACAACAACATGATTTGAATTGTCCTGCAGCTCGTGTGCCGCTCGTGTACAAATGACAACCACGATTTTTGCTACCATGTTGAGAATTGTGGATCTTTGAAGCCGAAATAATGTTATAGGAACACTAAATTTATACTGAGGATTAATATTAAAATAATGAAATATTTATTTCATGAACGATTCCTTATATATTCATCGATACACACTTGACGCATCTCAGCATTTTCTTCTATACCCGACTGTTAACCGACTCTTAATCGACTCTTAACTGATTGAAGAGTTTACATTCCTTTGTTTTCGAGACGCTGCAGCCACACATACTTCCACACACCGACACTCACATACAAGTATCTCTACTACGTATTTAACCTAGTCCAGCACAGAAAATTATACATATCTCAACAGATAAAAATCGAAGATTCATTGGAAAGAATCCAAAGTGTTTTCATAGTCTAAATTCGTTTGATTTAATTTCACGATAAAGAGGCTATTATATAATAACGATGAAATTAGCATATTAGAGTAGGAAACGGTGTCTGCAGTTTAATCTTCGTTTTACGGTTTCAACTGGGTAATTATGGAACGCGATATTACTAGCATGATGGCGAGTGACGAATCCACGCGCGCCAGCATAATTTCACAAATCGTCCTATTTATTCGGACGATCATTGAATGTTGGTGAAAACGGTTTGGCATATGCTAAACGCGTTAATTAACCGATCCTTTAAAGCGTTTTCGTCGTTGGCATCGGTCGAAACAGAATCGCAGAGATATCCCTTTCGGTATCGTCGATCAACCGGGCCGAGAATATGTGTCTATAAATTGTCTTTGGCCAATGAATTCGATAAATCAATTGGAGCTATTCATCTCGGCCGGCCGTTGCATTTAATATTTAGTCGATTGATAATCCGCTAATTAATATTCTATTTATCCATTTTGATATAATTGCCTCAGATATCGGGAGTAGCCGTGTTTCACCGCTCTAATGAAATATTTGTCGTTTCTGCATCGGTCCTTCGCGCCTTCCATGCGAAACTCGACTCATCGAGTTGGTTGTACCGCGATCTCGCAAATCCATCGTAAACATCTCGTGTTTCGCGCCTCCATTCTATCAGTTAACTCAGAAAACCTACAGTTTCCTCGACTGTTCCAGTTTACCTCAAATTTACACATCTTCCATGTAAAAGATTATCATTTTTCTGTGATTTACACACGAAGAATATCTTGTGTAGATAAAGCATGTTTTATAAAAGACTTAGAAATTTTTCTCATAAATCTCGATCTCTATGTAAATCTTGACCTATTGTCCTTTTCTATTTCTTTGTCAAGATGCTAAGAACAGAATTTAAGATATTTTAGAATGTCAACTGTTACATGTTACGCGTTACGTGAAATGTTTTCTAGGATAACGATCGAAGAATGTGAAAGCGACGAGGTGTTTACGAAACTATCAGCGGCCGTAGGTGCAAACGGTCGTCATCTAGCAGGCTGCCAAGTATTTTGGCGAAGTGGCAGGAGTAAAACGATCGGCGGG